TCCTTTACTTCTCCAAAGTCACTTCATTCCTGCCATTAAACACTTGATCATCTTTCCTCATGACTACTGAGAACTCCTCTTCTCTGAACTCCCTAGCTGTCACTTCACTGCATCAAAAAAACACAGCTGTGAAAATCATCTTCTTTGTCCACTGTGCTATCCATACCTACTTCCTCCTCCAATCCCTTAATCATGCCCACACCCCTCAGCACCATGTGAATGAACACCTAATTTCAGTTTATTTATAAAATAGGATTACAATATGTCTCTGAAACAATGAAATGTACATGTTTTCAGAGCCTGTTCCTGTTGGATTTACAGAGAACAGCATTTTATCTTAGTTTTTATAGACCATAACAGACTGGTCACCTGAAATAGCTGCCAACCTCTGGTGACATTGAAGGTAAACTGGACACATATGCACCTCAAAGACCACTCCCAAGTCTGTTATGCAATAATGTTGCCACCTTACTACCCTTTGTGAGACCTCCCAGTAAGCACTCCCCTCAAGCCAGCCCTCCCACACAAAAGTCAGATTCATACAGAGACTTAAGTTAATTTGCATTTTTTCTAACATAGGGCCCAATCCTGCAAAGTGCCCTCAATGCCAATCAAATCAGTGGAAGTTGGAGGGCACTCAGGACCTCACAAGACTGGGATCATAAATTCATTTATATAGAGACAACATGACCTGAAAAACTGTTAGGAAGCTTACACGGATAAAACTAGAAAAAAGATGCAGAACATACATATTGTAAACGAAAACTCATCATGCAAATTCTACACAAAGTCCCTACAACATCAGAGGTTCAAAACATTTGCATTTTTGTAGTTTAATTGGGATGAACTTGTATAAATTGTAGAGGTAAAATTTACTGCATCTGGAGTACATATATCATGTATATTAAATATTGCTCAAAACTCTTTTTCTGTCCTGTTACATAAATTAAATAACTTTGTATCTTTTTACCACACGACATTTACTTTGCCTGTTAATTCAAATACTTTTGTTAAATCTCAGAAAAAAAAATTTCTATGGAAGGAACATTTTTAAAATGTGCAGTTTTCCAGATTAAAAATAACAGTCCAATATCAAAACATTACTCTAGTTTCTAGTAAAGATATATTGCCTCACAAATAAATTACGTTTAAATAGCTTTAGGTTGAAACATAAATCAGCAAAAGCAAGGAATCTCAAATTTAGGCCTATAATTGATTTAGGAAAAAACAAACACAACTATAGAATGATAGCCTTAACTAAGGACCAGCTGCAGCAACTCTTACACTGAACCAAATCAACATTCAACAAAGCAGGGATGAAAGAAACAGAAACCCCATTCCAGTAGTACCAAAACTTCCAGAGGAGAGGCTCAGAGTAGAATCAGCACAGTATCCTGACCCCTCCTCCTCCATGGGAAACACTGCATGGCTACAGCTGTGTGCATTTAGGAGACAGAGAAGGGAGCAGATCTGGTAAACAGCCACTTTACATGTCATCTTCTCCCAACAAATCTCAGCAGGAGTTCATGCTGACCTTATCAAAATTAACTCCTGCAGATTCAAACTCTATAGCATCTACCTCCACTCCCCAAAAAAGATTAGCGCATGTAGAGAGAGGGAATTTATATAGATATAGATATATAGATATATTTTAATAGACATACACATTTCCCCCTGGAGATAGAAAAGGGAAGAATAAAAATAAATAGTCCACATGACAGATACTAGTCACATTATTTAATGAATGTCTGGAAAGTTCTAAAATATCACAGTGATGGGCACCATGCAATAACTTAAAATGGAACAGAAGAAAACAGGAGTGTGGAGGGAGGGGCTAGCCCCTCATACTGACATTCAGTCATCATAAGTTTCCCCAAAGTTTACAGGAAATCCATCCTTACCCCCTTGATTCTCTAATAAGAATGTTATCACAAGACCTCTCCAAGTGTCAGCTCAGACTTTCCAGCATAATTTTACCCACCCATGTTTTATTTTCATGAAATGGAATGATACAGCCTGTAATTCTTATTCAGACAAAAGTCCATTTCACTTCAAAAGAAGTTTGCCTTCAATGGAAATTTTGCTTGAATAAGGAGTGCAGAATTTGGCTCTATCTGCATCATAACAATAAGAATAATTAAATGTATATGTTGTATTAATGTTCTTGTTTTCTTTTAGAAATTGGGGAACATACCTGTCAAGAAGGTTAAACTGCAAAATATTTACCTAAGAGAGCAGAACAAGTTTTTGTATGGTATTTTTTCTAGTAAATATAGAGAAAGAGAACATTTTTAGAATAAACAGTGCTTTGAAACTATCAAGTGCATATTTCACATTAAATAAAGTAAATAAAATGTCTTTAGAAAATAACATTGATAAGTTGTTTACCTGAAACCATATCACTTCTCAAGGTCTTGTAAATTATTATTAACTCCCATTGACAACAATACTTCTATAAGATAGTTGTTTCAGTCCATCCTGTACATACATATTTTGGCATATAGTCTTTCCAACACCTTACACACAATTCTCAGCCTCCACCACACCATCCACACACTGTGTCAAAGCTGAAATTACAGCAATGACACTCCTTAATGGGAAGACAGTGGGTCAGCTCTTAAGCTGTTATAAATTGACATAGCTCCATCAATAGGAGGTTTGAGTGTGAAACCAATGATAAACTAAGCCTCATAGAATGCATATAGCTTCTCTCAATGTTCTAATGGAGGGTGTGGTATCACTTTACTTTATTTTGCAACTGCATGCATTCCTTTCCCCCACAAACTTCCTTCTGTTCTGAATGTGTTCTCAGTTAATAACAGAGCAAACTTAAATTAAAAAAAAATAGAAAATCTGTTTACACTTATAATCCTTACACTTAAAAAAATTGATGTTAGTTGGAGCCTCTCCCTTTCTTAAATTACTGGGAAATTACCCTGCCTATAATATAAAAAATTATATGACTCCTCATGCATATAGGTCACAATCACATTTAAAACACACATAGCATATGTTTAGATTTTAGAATTATACATGATTTTTCACTATAAAAATCAGTGATATTCTTACTTTCTTACAGTAAATGTAATTTTTAAAATCACAAATATTATAGAATCCAAAACAAAGTTGCCAGCAATATTTGTTAATCTTTAATGCTACTCTCATATATTGAAGCTACACCTCTGATAACTTGTAATTTCATCTCTTGTTAATGTTTTTAAACACACAAAACTTTTGAGTTAAAAATGTACACTTTTTATTTTGATTCTCCATATTATTCAGAAATGTAACAAATCGTTTAAGTACTTTAAAATGTGGGTGCCACAATAGTATTAAAATAATTTATAATATTAAAATGTCAGCTATTTAATACTCTGAATTACTTTTGATTATTTAGAATTAGAATGACAAATTAGATATGTAATTTGATTTCCAGTGTATAATTCACACTGGTGTTCTTCAAAATGTTGACATATTAAAGCATTTTTTAAAGCAGAGGCACATTGAAAAGGATTTAAGAAGTGGAGCAATCTTTTGCCTTCAATAACTGTTATTTAAAGAATAACCATAGTTTAAATTTCCACTAGCATATTCCTAATGAAACAATTACTGGAACACACACACTTCCAACCAAGCATCAAGGCCCAGAGATAGCTTTTAGCTAGATTTTGAAGGAACAGTTGAAAACCACAATGATCAAGAGACAGTGCTAAATCATAGAGTTCTCTCTTTTTTGCATTAACCACTGATACTGTGAAAAATATTATGTCACCTCTTTTCTGGCTTTTTCATATTTCCACACATAATATTGTATAGAGTAGTGTGATTTTATACTTCTAAATCATTAGAGGTGAATTTAGTGTTTTCACCAGATAGGGAAGCAGTTTTCATGAGTGTTTACTTGTGTTTGGTAAGTAGACATATGGGACAACCGTACGGATTCAGATTACAAACCCAGTATCTTCACATTAACCTGCAAGCAATAGATCTGAATGCCTCCCCAAGTGCTTTAAATAGGTAAAAATAACCGAAGATCACAAGAAAAAGTTTGCATTTCCTTAGCACCCTTCACTTCCCGCTGCACTTCTAAGAAACAAAAATGCATTAAAATGTAGAGCCTTCCGAGACAAGTCTCTCCCCCACCCCCACCCCCCCCACCCCCCATCCCTGACAACTGCTGAGAGCTGGACCCGTCTGCAGACGGAAGGGAGGCGATGGAGAGACAAGGAAGGACAGCAGGGCCATAAACGCCCACCCTGTCTGGACAGCTCCCTGGTGCTGAAGTTACAGAGCCGCTGTGGAAACGTACTACCCGCCTCAGCGTCCCGGCCGCTGGCAGCCGGCAGGCCCCGCCCGGCGTGTGGTTAGCGGGACAGGGTGCTAGGGAACCACAGGTGCCAGGGGCTTAGTCCCCACCCCACGGAGACGTTTTCTCAGCTAGGAAAGAGGCGCGGAGCGGGGGCGGGCGACGCTGGTGGAGGAAGATGGCGGCTCTTGCAAACCCACTTGGAGACAGTTAGAGCCTAGGCCCCGGCCACACATCTCCGGCCCGGGGTGTGGGGGCGAGCGGCACCAGGGCCCCGCCACACGCTCACAGCCCGGCTCGCAGCCAGGAACGAGCCCGCGGCCTCCCACCGGCCCTCCGGCAGCTCCCCCGCTGCCTAGACCCTTTTCCTTGCACACGCCGGGTTAGAACAGCAGCACCTGTGCGGCCATGTTGGGCGCCTAGCCCCAGTCTCTGCCCGATGCCAGCCGCCTCCCCCTGTCCCCAGAGAGCGGGGGGGCGGGGAGAGGGCAAAGCACCGGGGACATGAAGCAAATACCACAGCCCAGCGGCCTCACCTCCACACCCCCATCAGCATCCCCCTCCCCACAGCAGCTAGGGCCCCGACAGAATCAAGCCCCCAATCCCCGTAACACCTCCGGGGCTGGGGTCGAGACCGCCACCCCGGCCCTCTCTGCGGCCCTGAGCGGGTAGGAAAGCAGGGGGCTGCCCTTACTTGAGCACGGACTGCTCCTTCTCTTCCTCCTTCTTCTGCCGCTCCATGACGGCCAGGATGATCTTCCTCTCTTCCTCCGTGAGGTGGCTGAGGTCGGGCATCTCCGACTGCGGGGCCTGAGGTGGAGGAGGCTGAGGAGGAGCAGGGCCGCCCCGCGGCCCGACAGGAGCCGACATGTTCGGTGGAGCTCAGCCACGCGACGGGAGACACGGGGCTCGCTCGGGCGGCAGCGGCAGGAGCGGCAGCCGCCGGCGCGGGGAGCGATACATACAAGTCAATGCACGCGGATCAATGGGCAGCCTGATGAATCAACAGCGCTCCGGGGGGGGGGGGGGCCGGGGGAGCCCGGCCCGCCCGCCCCCCCCCGGCCCGCGGGGGGGGGGGGCGGGGGGGGGGGGGGGAGTGACGCGCGGGAAGGGGGCCGAAGCAGAATGAACAGGGACCAGGGACTTTGGGAGGGGGGCAGCGGAACGGGCGGAGACCTGAGGGGATGGGCAGCGAGGGGGTGGCCAGACAGAGAGCGGGGGGACGGGATTCTCCAGGAGAAGGAGCGAGGCCAGATTACGCTAACCCCGGCGCCAGAGGAAGAGTCCGAGCCCGGAAAGCAGGGGCCGCAGGGACGCCAGGGGCAGGAGGCCGGTTGCAGGGGACGAAGCGGGGTGTGTGTGACAGGAGCCCTGCCGCCCAAGAGCGCAGAGCGGGGGCAAACCCCTTAGGGTGCACGCGAGCCCCAGCCGCCGGCAGCTGTAGCCGGCTCATAACTCCACGCCGAGGTCCATGGCGGGGGCTGTGTGTGGGGCGCCGCTGACGGCCGCCGCCGCCTCCTGCTGCAGGTGCTCCTGCGCCGGCCTCGCCGCCGCCGCGCTCGGCTGCTGGATACAATCCGCCTAACCCATCGCCGCGCTGAGAGCCGGAGTCACGGGAGGGGGCTCCGCGTCCTCCTGCCGGCCCCCCGCCTGGCCCGGAGCGACGCTTCTTCCTGCCGCGGGGGTTACGGGGCTCCGCTTCCCGCGGGCGATCGACGCCCAACGAGGGGGTGGGTAGAAGGTTTATTATTATTATTGTTATTTATTTATAAATGCACAAAAATGGATGCGATAAAAATCACGCGAGGAAGGACAAGGAGGAGCCAAGCGCCGCGGATGCGCTGGGAGAACCGAGCCCAGCTGCTCAAGGGGCGGACGCACCGAGGGAGGGGGGCGGAGAGAGACTGTGCCCAGCAGCCGCTGCCGGGACTCTCCCAAGAGGCGGGGGTGGAGAGGAGCTAGGGCAGGGGGAGAGGAGAGCAGAGAGTGAGAGTGGAAAAGGCGGCCAGAGAAATCGGATTAGGGAGAAGGGGGTTACGAGAGGGCGAAGTGGCTGGGAAAGGAGGTGGCGTGAGATGCAGCAGCCCCTGGGGAAGGAGGAGATGGGGATGTGCGTGGAGGCGAACTGGAGCAGAAAGCGCGATGGAGCAAAGGTACAAAGGGGGTGGGAGCTAACCGGGTACAGTGCACCGCTGGATGTAAGGGGGGAAAGCGGTGCACGCCCATATCTTTATTCACACCCAGGCACATAACCAATAACCGGAGAAGAGTCACAGCAGTACAATTATTAAAAGCATCTGAGCTGCTAACGGCCGGAGAGCTCAGTCCTTGGGGAGAGGGCTCAGGTTCTTCTTGACTTAACTTTTCTCCTTTGGAAGCTGATGACAGTACAGGGCCCCACCACTTAGATCCAACACAAAGTGTAGGAGACAGCGAATAAAATAGCACCCAACCACAATGCAAAATCGGGTCACAGAGAAAGAAAAGTCACATTTGTACATAGCCACGTACCTTACCGATGTTTGTCTGGAAGCAGATTAACCTACTGAAAAGATAACAACAATGGTGAGTCCTAAAGAAACGAAACAATAAATATATACTCTTTGAATAATGTAATTCCTCTGAGTTTTCTTTTCTACTCTAACTACTATCTTAATACTCTCCTTCAATTAATATATCTAACGTCTATTTTCTGTCTCTTACCTAATTTACTCTAATGAATTTCCTGTCTTTCTTGCTTCACTTTCTTTAATATAGTACGTTTATTCTTACTACTTTTCAGTTTATTTCTTTCCCTTGTTCCTTTTAATTACTTTGCTTTCTCCATCAGTGGCTCTTTATCTCCGTTTACCTAAACTACTATTACCTGTCACAGACTCTTAACTGGAGCATCATTCCCCAGCTGCAAAGGGTAAGATTTGCCCGGAAGTGTATGTGTTGGGATTGGGGTTCTTTTGAGCCTCCAAAGCAGAAACTCAATGGCGCATTACAATGGAAAAGAAAGGGAAAGGAGGAGGAAGTTTTCATGCACAACTGAATCTTTCTTCTACAATAGGGACCAGGTTGCGCTGGAGAAAGCCTCTCAAAGCTCACATACTCATCCCCTCCCGCCCCCAATTTCTATAGGAAGCAATCACACCTGGGAAAAGAACCAATGGGTGCCAAAAAAATGCCATTTAGCAAAAATAAACGACAAACAACATATCTGGGTGCAGATTTAGAGAACCACATTTAGACCAAATCTCTTGGTTTTCAATATATTTATTAAAAATACATTAAGATAGTCACCTGACATTCTTTTACATGATGTGTAATAGAAGATATTTCTAGTCAGCTTTATTATTACTACACACTTTATTTGCTGTCCATCAACATATTACGAAACTTAAACTGAGAGATTCAAATTCCCAGTAAGAGACCAAATAGCATACTCTGCTGCTGCCAGCACCCTTTCAACTGGGCTAGGAAACAAAGATTTAACCATATTGAAAAGCCTGAGTAAAGTGATGCCTCTTTCTAAAAGTGGCCAGATTTATCCTTAATTGTGTTTCCTCAAGACATGAATTCTAAGGAACAGCCTCAATATCAAAACCACTCTGCCACTAGCACTCGCAAGTGTTAAGTCTTTGGGACAATAAGTTCTAGTGTGCTGGAGGAACACAGACCAATGGTAGGTTAGATATGGTCGAGCAGTCCTTTCAGTACCCTATGCCTAAACCATTCAAGTATAACTGTATAAAGGATAACCAGTGCCTTGAATTTCACCTAGTAAGTCTATTTGTCAGCCGTAGGTGAAAGAAGGATATTCTGTTACCTGATGTGACTTGTACATATAGGAATAGTGAGGAGTCTGGTAAGACCCCGCTTGACTGGGAACCATTTTGACACCAGTTGAGCAGATGCAGTCAAATGATAGAACAACTATAGCTTTCACCAGGTCCTCAAAGCACTGTCATCTGCCAAGGAACATTACCTTTGTCTTGCCAGATTGGACTCTAACCAAATGGCTTTCATGCAGTGTCCAGTTTTTGCCAGACACTGGGTAAGTTTCTGGGTCAGAAGAGAGAAAATGTAGAGCTAGGTGTCATGAGCATAGGGAATATGTTATAGCCCATATCATCTCATGATCTCTACTTATGGGATAACAGATGTTGAACAGAAGGGTCAACAGGACTGGTCCCTGTGGGATTCCCCAAGTTAGCATTCGGGAAGGAGAAGTAATCACTCATCATCACTCTCTAAGAACAATCGGAAAACTTAGCAGAACCTCTATGACAACTCTCTCCACTCTGCCAGGTCATGAAGCTGTGTCAGTAACTGCTAATGTCACAAGGTGGAAGGGATATGAAAAAAAAAAGTTTATAAAAATCAATTTAATCTAATCTGGGACCACAAACACTAAAATTGCCTTAATCATAGCTGTTATTAAAGGATGACATCACTATAGGGCAGAGTTAAGGTTGTTTGTGTGCATTACATACATTAACATGTTTAAATTTATTTTAAGTGTAATCTTAACTCTGAATTTTCTAAATTTATAATGATTGGTTTTGAAAATGTCAATATGCCTATGGTTTTTTTACTCTTAAATTACTAATATGTATTCTCAACCTTAGTTTAAAATATCAGATTTCCCCTCTTCCTTCCATATCCTCTGTCAATAAAATTATAATTATAAATAAATAAATCTGAGAATAGGAGCCAAAATCACACACATCTTCAGAGCCTTATCCAGGTATTTAATTTGTAAGTGAAGCAAGATCCAGAGCAGAAAATATTCTATGACTCATTGAAGAAATGGTCCCACTTGACTTTTCTATGCTCCATAGATCTCAAAAAATCTACCTTCTCTTTCTCTCAACAGATCTAGCCATCATTATGCTAATTTTCCTGCAATTAAAGGGAAACATTACCTATTTATGTCCATGTCATCTTGCATATAATTTTCTCTAATGCTGTTATTGATATCTACATTAGATGGATGACTTACTGTTGAAAATGTACTTGAAGCAAACTTCTTACCACATAGTCCAGAATAACTCCAGCAATAGCAATCCATAATTAAACAAACAAACAAAATATCAATACTGGGTATTATCAGCTATGGAACTCATTTTCAAGAAACATTAATGAGTAATTCTCTCACTAGTGACATTTCTAAAAATGCTAAGCATGATTTCCAGAGGTCCGGAGCACCTGCAGCTCCTATTTACTTCAGCTGGATTTGTGGGTGCTCAGCACTTCTGAAAATCAGATTCCCAGTTTTTAATCCTTCTCTTCCAATGTTCTGTTAGACTTGTTCTCCTGCTGCACAGCTCTCAGCCTAATTTCACTCCAACTGACTGTTGTCAGATACATCCTCCAGTTTCTTTTGGGTGGCCTCCATAAATCCCAGTTGCCTAAAGGTATACTCTTATATACTCTTGGGGTTATTAATCCAAGTTTTCTGGTCTCATCTTTCTCCTACAATGTCATGCTGCTTTCTCCAGTTTCTTCAAGATTGCTGCACAAGAGGAGCTCCCAGTGAAATAGCAGCACTTAATTTTGAAAACTCTCACAAACCTCCTTTAATAGAGGTCTGGAATAATTAAATGTATGTATGTTGTACTTTAAAGGTTGTTAACTCTATCAACAGTATCATGCCCCAGTCCTGCAAGATTTATGCACATGCTTAATTTTAAGTACAAGTAGTCCCCTTGAACTCAATGTGACTGCTCATATGCTTAAAGTTAAGAAAGTGTGTAAGTTTTTGCAGAATCAGGGACTTACTCATATTTTCTACCTTTAACTTATGGAACTCATTTCCTTGAGTCAGAGTGTGTTGCTGCAGTACGTCTGCAGAGTCAGTCTGAACTCAATGGAGAATTAAA